AGGCGGCGCCCTCCCTGCGGGCTTTGGAGGTGCCAGCTCTTCGGCCGAAGGCGTCTGTGTGTCTGCGTGTGAATATATATATATAAAAAAAAATATAAATATATAAATACGATGTATATTATTACCTGTATAAAGAAGGAATCTGTATATATTGGGGCACTTGGAGATGCAAAAATAGTGGTGGGAGCACTCAGCGGGCGCCAGCTGCACTGAACCAGGGGTTTTGCTGAAATAGCCATTTTTTGACTGTGAATCGAGGTTATTTGGTACCGAAATCCCCTGGTTTTGGGAGCTGAGTACACGCAGTTTCCAGAGGAAAGGAAATTTTGGGAGCATGGAAATAAATCCTATAGGAATGAGCGTGTTTCCTTGCAGTATTTTGTAACCTGGTTTGGCTTCGGGTGCAAATGTTTTCTTTCCCTTGCTTCGGCGACAGCATCCCAAGGGGTTAATATACCCCCTTGGAGCTGCACATGCTCAAAAATCAATAGGAAGCCCCAAAATGCCCTTTTTTTTTTTCTTTTCCCCCCAGAAATGGAGCGGGAGGGAGGGAAAATGGGCAGAAGGATGTACCCCATCACCTGCACCTCTGGTACCCAAAGCTCTCTCCATCCTCGACGGAGAAACCCTGGGGCCGGGGAGGTGGAAACTTGTCCGAGGACTAAATCAATTTATAATGCGATCCTCTAACCGCCTTCAATTTGATTTTTCATTTGTAGCATTACAATTATCAGATTGATATTCCCGACCGCTCAACCTTGAAATGGGACGGCACGGCTCCCGCTGCCGGGGAGCGAAGATCATCCGCCTTGCACCCATTTCTGAGTATTTTTCTAATTAGCCATCAAATGTTGCTTTGCCTGGTTTTTCTTTCTTTGCCCTTAAAGTCTTTTCTGATTTAAGTTTTCTCCCCGTCTCAGCTGCCTGAAACATCACGAAGAGGGTGGCGAAGCCTCCGGACCAGCCGTGCAGCATGCCGCAGCCGAAGGACCGCGAGCGTCCTCACGAGCACCGGTGATGCCCATGGGAAGGGCGTCAAGGAGCTTGTGGCTTCCTCCACCCCTTTTTCCTGTTTTCCTTCGCAATTCTGCCACCTTTGGGGTCGGCGTGCAGGAAAGCAGGTGGTTCTCGAGGGATATCACCCCATGGCATGGTAGGGAGTTCTCATGCCATGAGATTGTAACCATACAGTTAAAAATACCTATATATATGTTTATTGCGATGCTGTATGTAGCACCAACCATGGAGTTAGCACTTTATTTAGCACGGGGATGTTATAAAAACCATTTAAGGGACCCCTGATGCCGTCCCTCCAGGCTCTTCAGCCCGCGCCGGCCACCTCAGCTACCATTTCATTTAAAACACCCCAAAACGAGGATGCAACATCGAGCCGTGCTGCTGCTTTCGAAGCATGGAGGAGATGCCGCTGCAGCTGTTTCCCCCCATGCATGGCCCGCCGGCGCCAG